GTATATCCTTTTGATTATCTAGGACAATGAGAAATTTTATTTTATTTTTTTAAAGTTGGTTTATTTTTACTTAGAGAGAAAGAGAGAGAGACAGAGACAGAGACAGAGACAGAATATCAAGCAGGCTCCTGCTGTCAGTTCAGAGCTGCATGAACCATGAGGTCATGAACTGAGCTGAAAGAAACCAAGAGTCGGAGGCTTAACCGACTGTGCCACCCAGGCGCCCCCCTCCTTTTTTTTTTAAGTTTATTTATTTTTATTTTTGAGAGAGAGAGAGTAGGACGATGAGAAAGTTTAAATAGCACATGCAAACCAAATTAAAATAATACAAAAATTCTACCTCAGCATTCTCTATCTACCTTTCCAAAAAACCTTTTCTTAGACATGAGATGTGAACTTAAAAGCAATGACATTGATCCCATGAGCCACGTACAAGAGTGAGTTTCTATTACACTAGTCACATTTTGCTCAATAATTAAATGATTTTACTTGTGTTATTTCTCTGGTGAAAATGTTATGGAGGAGAACAAACATGAGTATGGGGAATGACCTCTGAATCAGCTTTAAAACTACTTTAAAGCATTTCCCCCTTTTACATAGAATTAACACATTTATTCTAACCTTACGAACTTTCTTCTTTTACTTTTTTTTTTTACTTTTAGTTTGAGATAATTTTAGACTCACATGGAGTTGTAAGAAATGATACAGATACCCTGTACTCTTTCAACAGTTTTCCCCCAATGACAACATCTTACAAGACTATACGACAATATCACAACCAGCATATTGACATTGATACAGAACATTTGCATCACAGCAAGAACTATTTTTATAGACACAGCTTTTTTATAGTGTTCCCTTCCCCCTACTCAACCCTTAGCAACCACTCCATTCCTATAATTATTCTCCATTTCTATAATTATGTCATTTCAAGAATATTATATAAATGGAATCATATAGTATGTAACCTTTTAATTTTCTTAACGTTTATTTATTATTGAGAAACAAAGAGAGACAGAGCATGAGCATGAGAGGGGCAGAGAGAGGGGGAGACACAGAATCTGAAGCAGGATCCAGGCTCTGAGCTGTCAGCATAGAGCTCGATACAGGGCTTGAACTCACAAACCATGAGATCACGATCTGAGCCAAAGTCAGACACTTAACTGACTGAGCCACTCAGGTGCCGCCAGTATGTAACCTTTTATATTAGCTATGCACTCATCATAATTCCCTGGAGATCCATCTATTTTGTATACTAACATTTCATTAAAGTTTATGTATGTATGAATGTACATATATAATATGTACATATCTATTATTATATGTATATATATATTATTATTTTTAAAAATAATCTCTATACCCAATGTGGGGCTGGAACTCCCAACCCAGAGGTCGAGAGTCGGATGCTCTTGATCCTGACTGAGCCAGCCAGGCGCCCCAGTTCATTCCTTTTTAATGCTGAGTAGAATTCCGTGGTATGGATGTACCATAGTTTTAACCATATATCCACTGAAGAATATCTGGGCTATTTCCAGTTTAGGGCTATGATGAATAAAACTGCTGTAGATATTCATGTACAGGTTTTTGTGTGAACATAGCTTTCCTCTCTAGGGGTAAATGCCCAGGAATGCAATTGTTGGGTCATTGATAGTTACATATTTAGTTTTTAAGGAACTGCCAGTCTGTTTTCCAGAGTGGTGGTACCATTTTATATTCCTGCCACAGTGTGTGGGTGATCCAGTTTTTACACATTCTTGCCTTCTTGCTGAGTGTTTTCATCATGGAAGGAGCTCTTCCATGTAAGTTTTAAAATAATCTTGTGTTTGGGGCGCCTGGGTGGTGCAGTCGGTTAAGCGTCCGACTTCAGCCAGGTCACGATCTCGCGGTCCGTGAGTTCGAGCCCCGCGTCAGGCTCTGGGCTGATGGCTCGGAGCCTGGAGCCTGTTTCCGATTCTGTGTCTCCCTCTCTCTCTGCCCCTCCCCCGTTCATGCTCTGTCTCTCTCTGTCCCAAAAATAAATAAACGTTAAAATAATCTTGTGTCAGATATCTTTTAGGATATATTTTAATTAATTACTTTTGATATTTCCACTTTTGGTGTGCTTCATTTCTTCTTGTGAATTTGAGTTTACCATACTATAGCCTTTCTTTGCAGTCTGAGGACTTCCTTTCACATTTCTTTGAAGCAGGTCTGCTGTCTCCATTGTTTATGTTGACAAATCAGCCAGTAATTATACTAGTTTTTACCTGTATGTACATGTCATTTTTCTCTTGCGTTCATGTTCTTCTTTGTCTTTCACAGTTTAACTGTCCTTCAGTTGTCAACAATTGTCCAACAATTTCCCTGTCCTTCTTGGTTAATTGAGCTTCTTTGATCTATAGATTAATATTTCTCTGCAGATTTTGAAAGTTTTAACCATTATTTCTTCAAGTGTTTTTCTGCCTGCCCTTTACCTTTCATTACTTCTGTTGTGTATATATATATATATATTTTTAATTTTTTTAAATATTTTTTTTTAATTTTTTTTTCCAACGTTTATTTATTTTTGGGAAAGAGAGACAGAGCATGAACGGGGGAGGGGCAGAGAGAGGGAGACACAGAATCGGAAACAGGCTCCAGGCTCTGAGCCATCAGCCCAGAGCCTGACGCGGGGCTCGAACTCCCGGACCGCGAGATCGTGACCTGGCTGAAGTCGGACGCCCAACCGACTGCGCCACCCAGGCGCCCCTGTATATATTTTTTTTAAATTAATCTTTGAGAGAGAGAGAGAGAGAGAGAGACTGAGCGCGAGCAGATGAGGGGCAGAAAGAGAGAGAGACACAGAATCTGAAGTAGGCTCCAGGCTCTGAGCTGTCAGCACAGAACCCGCGAACAGTGAGATCATGACCTAGGTGGCTCAGCCTACTGAGTGTATTTTGAATCGCTTAATTTTGTCTCATGGGTCTCTGAGTCTGTTCATTTTCTACAATCTTTTCCATCTCTGTTCTTCAAATTGGATAATTTTTGCTAATAATCTTTAAGTTCACTGATTCTTTCCCTGCTATGTTGAATTTTTGTTGAGCCCCTTCAGTGAATTTTTTATTTCAGTGAATGTAGTTTTCAACTCCAGAATGTCCTTTTTTTTCCTTAAAAATTTTTTTAAAATGTGTTTGTTGAGATTCTCTATTTGTTGAATCACTATTGACATGTTTTTCTTTAATTCTTTAAGCATGATTCTCTTTAGTTGTTTGATTTGTAATATTTGTAATAATTGCTTTGATGTCTTTGTCTGCTAAATGTAGTATTTGGGGACCCTGAAAGACCCTACTGCCTGCTTTTCTCTTTCCTTAGTATGAGTCACATTTTTCTGTTTCTTGGCATGTTTCATAGTTTTTGTTGAACATTGTACTATTAAGATAATGTATTGTAGCAACTGTGGATTCTAATTGCATCCTCCCTACCCCTAAAGCTTGTTATTGATGATTTTTGTTTGTTTAGTAACTTGCCTAGAGTAAATCTGTGAAATCTATTTGTCTTATCTCTGCTCAGCTTAGTATTGTTGTTGGTTTTATTTATTTTTTATTATTATCAAAACATTTTTTAATGGTTATTCATTTTTGAGACAGAGAGAGACAGAGCACGAACAAAGGAGGGGCAGAGAGAGAGGGAGACACAGAATCCGAAGCAGGCTCCAGGCTCTGAGTGTCAGCACAGAGCCCGATGTGGGGCCCGAACCCATGAACCGTGAGATCATGACCTAAGTTGAAGTTGGACGCTTAACCGACTGAGCCACCCAGGTGCCCCTTGTTGTTTTTATTTTCAAGGCTGGCTTCCTAGTGGTCACCCCTTATGTCAGCCAGTGATTGGTCAGAAATTTTGCTTTTTTGAGAATTTTTTTTAATGTTTATTTATTCTTTGAGAGAGAGAGAGAGAGAGAGAGAGAGAGAGAGCGCATGAGCAGGGGAGGGGCAGAGAGAGGGAGACACAGAATCTGAAGCAGGCTCCAGGCTATGAGCTGTCAGCAGAGAGCCCAATGCGGGGCTCAAACTCACGAACCGTGAGTTCATGACCTGAGCCAAAGTTGGATGCTTAGCCAACTGAGCCACCCAGGTGCCCTGGAAATTGTGCTTAAATACATAGAGCCAGTAAGACTTTTTTCTTCTGCTGAGAGATCTGTGTGTAGGTTGGGGAATGTATTCAATGTTCAGGCCGTTTTCAAGTTTGTCTCAATTTTTATGTTTCCCCAAGACTTGTTTCTAGCCAGGAATGTGTGGATAGTATGGGAACTCTGTAGTCTCTGCTACCCATGCATGCAGCTTCTGTTTAGCCAGGAATACATGGGAAGTTTATGAACCCCATTTATGGCTGTCTCTCCTCCAAGATCTCTTTGTTAAGTCTGCTGCTAATCTGCCAGTGGGCTTATTTCTTGCCACAAATGAGACTACAACCTCACACTCTTGTGGATAGCTTCAGAATTTTCCCTTTCACTTCTGGGCATAGCTTTTCTGCTCTCCACTCTGAACCATCTCAGCCATCTCACTCAGCATAGCTGCTAGTTTTCATAGCCTACACAACTGCCCTCGTGGAACTGTCACACTGCCACAGTGATTTAACCGATGGGGGAGGATGAGTAAGGGCCACTGGGCAAGGAAACAGTGCCACAGACTTCCGCTGCTTCTAAGTTTGGTAGATTTTCATGAAAAAAATGCTTCTCAGTTTATTGCATGACTTTGGTCAATTTCCAATAATTTGAGATGATGTTTTTTGATAGTTTTTTATTTGCTTTTGTAGAGAGAATTTGCTAAACTCCTTACTCCAGCATGCTGGGAGCTTCCTTTTCTTGCTTTTGGTGTTTTTTGAAATGTTTATGTATCTAGTTTTTCATATAAAAATGTACAAAATATTGCATAAGAAGCATGTTATTTTACAGTCCATTTAAATTTGTTCAAGACACTACCTTTTAGTTCATCTAATAAAGATTATAATTAAATGGAAATTTAATCTTTTTATTGTTGCAGATTTCAAGTGCCACCTATAAAGACAGGAATGAGGAATACAAAAGACAGTTCACACACTTACCTGATACAGAGAAGCTGATAGCAGGTAAAACAGACAGGAAGTTGCAAAAAACCATTTTACTACCTCATTATCAAAAGAGAACTGACAAGTGACAATATTTGTAGAAAATTTGAGCCTTCGTGCTAGACAGAAAATATTTTTTAAGATAAGCAGCATGTTATTCTAATTAGACAATGTAAAACTAAGTTATAATTTGGGGAGGAGTGATTTCTGACTTATAAAAATATTCGGTACTAGCTAAGAAAAATAGAACTAAAAGGAAATAATTGTCACAATTTCTTCTGGTGCTTGTTTCATATGGTTTTGTAGGAAAAATTTAAATTTGCTGTTCAATATATATTAACTTTCCCCGGAAAAAGGTACTCCTTAACAGATTATAGAGCCAATTTTGTAAAATTTTCTGGGGCTATATTCTTATTCGTGTAATCCTTCTTTTTAAAGTTTGTTTGTTTATTTATTTATTTATTAAATGTTTATTTTTAAGAGTTTAAGGGGAGGGCCAGGGGCAGAGAGGGGGACAGAGGATACAAAGTGGGCTCTGTGCTGAGGACAGCAGTGAGCCTGATGCGGGGCTCGAACTCATGATCTGTGAGCACATACCTCACTGAAGTTGGCTGCTCAACCAACTGAGCCATCCAGGTGTCCCAAGTTTATTTATTTAGTTTTTAGTAATCTTTACACCCAATATGGTGCTTGAACTCATGACCTGGAGATCGAGTTGCAGGCTCTCCCAACTGAGCTAGCCAGGTGCCCCTCATGTAATCTTTCAGGTAGATTTTGTTTAAATAGACTTGAAGAGGAAAACTGTAACTATTTTTCTTACAAAAGTGCTTAATTTTTGATATAAGCTTAATATGTTTTTTTTATAATCAAAATATAAAACTAGGTTTTAATTTTAGTATATATTTCATTTAAACCATTTATTCATAGAAATTTCTGATTTCTGGTACTGTTGGGCAGTATTCAACACAATGTAACTGAATTTCTGTAGTTCAGCTCAGTACTTTAAATATCATAATGAGTTAAAACAACTTCTAAGAACATTTGAAAGCAATGTATTCTCATGACAAAATATTTAAATGCTATATAAGGGCATATAATGAGAAGTGAGTGGTCCTTCCAACCAAGACTGTTCCAACATACTTTTTGGGCTGTATAGCCACTTAGAGTAATTTCTTACGTATATTTCGAGAAGTTTTCTGTAGGCATTTCAAGGGGTATATATGTATATTCCTAACAGAATTTCTTTTTATTATTTTTTATTTTTTAAGTTTATTTATTCATTTTGAGAAAGAGAGGGAAAGCACACATGCAAGTGGGGTAGGGACAGAGAGAGAGGGAGAGAGAGAATCCCAAGCAGGCTCTATGCTGTCATCATGGAGCTCGATGCAGGGCTCGATCTCAGGAATCATGAGATCATGACCTGAGCCAAAATCAAGAGTCAGAAGCTTAACCAGCTGAGCCACCCAGGCATCCCCCCGCCTAAGAGAATTTCAGTGGGAACATACTGTGTTTACTCTTTGAACCTTGTTTAGAGCTCTTTTTATTAGCCTTACTTAAGGAATTACTTCATTCTTTTAATGCCTGCCCATATTCAACTAAATGAACTCTGTACTGCAATTTATTTAACAAATCCTTTATTGATGGACATTTTGATCACTTCCTGTCTGTTACTATTTCCACTAATGTTGCATTGAAACTTTTACATTTGTTTTAGCACATATGTGCACACACATTGTAAGATAAATTCTATGAAGTGGAATTGTGGTAAAAAGGTAATAAGTATTTAATAAGTTTCCTGTTGCCAAGTTACCCTCCAAAAAGTCTGCACCAATTTGCATTTTCATCAAAAGTGTATGTGAGTACCTGTTTTGCCCCACCTCAGGAAGTTTGCTTTAGTAAAATTTGGTAGTTAGAAATGGTACTTAATCATTGTTGAAATATGCCATGTTTTTAATTATAAAGGAGGTTGAACATCTATTTATATATGTATAAACCATTTGTATTTCTTTTTCTGTGAACATTTCATAAACTCTGCCCATTTTTCTGTTTTTTTGTCTTTTTCTTAATTTGTAGTAGCTTGTTAGATGTTTAAAAAATTAGATCTTTTCATGTGTGTTGCAAGTGTTTCTTTCCAGTTTGTCACTTGAAATCAAGTGACTTTTCAAGGAAACCTGTGTAAAATTTATCATACTTATCACTGCCTTCTTGAAAGAATTTAATCTGATAATGTAATGATACATATTCATTATAAAACATTAAAGCTCTGCAGAAAAATATAAGGAAAAAAATTGAAAAGTATTGGTAATCGTAACACCTACATATAAATTTAGTTCATATTGTTTGTATAGCTTTCTAGGTATTTTTCAGTATGTGAATTTGTTTTAAAAATTTTACACTTTTTAGTTTTCTCTCACTGATACAATGAACCTGTTTATTGTATAAAACTTGCAAAATACAGACTTTTACAAAGTAGAAAACTAAAACCAGGTTTAATTGTACCAAGCCACAGACTGAGAGAAAATAGTTGATAATCACATATCTGATTAAAAAAAAAATCCTTGTATTTAGAATGGAAATAAAAGTCAACAATAAGAACACAAACAACCCAATTAAAAAAATAGGTAAATACACTTTACCCAAGATATATATGGAGGACAGATAAGCATGTAAAAAAACCCTCCACATCAATTATTATAGGGGAATGCACATTAAAAGCACAAGCAAACTACCTGGCAGTGAGAATTGCTAAAATTCACAGCAACAACAAAACAATGGACAGCAGCAAATGAAGATGAGGCTGCAAGGCTCTCATCTCCTGGTGGTGGGAATGCAGGCTGGCGCAGCTGCTTTCAAAGGCAAGTTGGCAGTTTCTTGTAAAGTTAAACATGCACTTAACCGTATGACCTGGCAATCCTAGTTATTTTCTCAAGTGAACTGTAAGCTGATGTTCACAAAAGTCCTGTACATGAATGTTTATAGCATCTTTGTTAACAATGGGTAATAACCAAGATGTCATTCAACTGGTGAATGAATAAACAAACTGGCACATCCATATAATGGAATACTATTCAGCAATAAAAAGGAACAAGCTATTAATATGCATTGCAACATGGATGAATCTTCAATACATTTTCTAAGTGAGAAAAACAAAACTTAAAAGGTTACATGTTTTATGATTCCATTTATTTGACATTATGAAAAATGCAAATATATAGGGATGGAAAGCAGATTTGTGGACACTGGGAAAGGAGAGTGGTTTCACAAGGGTATTTTTACAGTGATGGAATGGTTCTATATGGTACTGGGGTGGTGGTAACATAATTGCATTTGTGAAGCCTTTATAGAGGTAACTTTATTGTATAAAAGTTGAAAAAGTCAACCAGAATATCAGGAGATCCCAGGTTGAAATTCCATCAGTAAGAAAAGGATCTAACTATATTACATACAAGTGACATATTGCACTCAAGGATGGGTTAGCATATATACATCTATTCCCTAGCTCTGTCTGTTGCTCGAGCCTAGAAACAGTGATACCTCAGTAAGCAGTCAGCATGTCCAGGACCCAGATATTGGTCTCTAAATACCATCCCCAATAAAAGGAATGAGAGCTCCTTGAAGAAATGGTCCATTCTGGGGCTGGGGCAGTGAAAATATGAGTGACTGTGGAGTAGCTTATAGTGCCAGAAAGTAAGGAAGTGCTAAAAAAAAAAAAAAAAAAAAAAAAAAGCCAATTTGAAAGAACTCCCAGTGGTCAAAGAGAGAATAATTTGAGCAATAAAATAAATAATGATAATATTGGATTATAACTTGAAGAATAAAATATCCATGAGTATATATTGATAAAAATAAATGCTTGAATAATTAAGCGTATGGGGAAGAAGACACAAATCTCCCTTCAGTGGTATCTCCAGGTAATTTATATGCACGTTAAAGTTTGAGAAGCACTGATCAAGGTAACACAAGTGCCAAACCTAAGGGTAAGAGCTTACTAGGTTCTTTTTCTCTGTACATAAAATACTGATGATGAAGAGGGTCTTTAAAAGATAACCAATCCATGTTTAGTTATACAACTGATTTCACCAGTGTGATCCCATGTCTAACATCCTGTATGCTGATAAACCACTAATTTAGCTAATGAAAACCCTTTTCTGTGTCTCTGCTAGTTAGCCAAACATTTGTTGTTAAACAGTAATAAAGGTAGCCTAAGGGCTTCTAGTAGCTCCTGAAGGAGTGTAGTTCTAATTAAATTGTTAGGTGACTTATCCCAAGTATGAATCCCTGATTAAACAACTAACTATCCCTAGAATATTTCTAAACATCTACTTTAGCTGGAGTCCACATTTTCACTCCTAATATTCATTTGTGCCTTCTTTATTCTTACTCTTCTTATTCCTGGCCAAAGAAAATGTTATGTTGGAGAAATACAATTAAAAACAAAATACCCTACCAATCCAGAAAACCTCTCACAAAAGTAGAAAAGAAAGAAAATAGTTTTATTATTGAATAAGCATTCAACTGGAATGGGATATGCTCACAGGTAATCTGTAAAAGAGATTGTGAAGAGAGACAGAAAGAAAATCTCACCCTTTTATATAGCCAAGCAGATACAACCCTTTACACATGTTCTAAAGATGAGTGATAACTAGTCCTCAAGTAAGAGGACATGATAGTACTGTTTGTCACACACAATTTCATCATAAATTCACCTGATAATTGGGGCTACTATCTGTGTTAGTTAACTGGCTTTATGCAAAGGAAAAATAAACTCGTATCTTTATGACAAGAGTTTGTTTTGCAGCTTGGAGCAAGTTGCCCACCAAAGTTAAGCTCCTACCCTACTACAGAAACTGGGAGATAGGGGGCTATCTCTCTAGATGTTTACATTTCCAAGAGATGGCTCCTAAGTCTTTGAGAAACATTCCTGGATTGTAAACCTGGCAAGGGGCTTATTTTGTTTTTAAAAAGATTCACATGTATCTCAAAGAAGCAAGAAAGAATTTACAAATTTTCTGAAGAAAATGCTTAAAGAGAAGTGAGGAGGGAGTCTTTTTCCCTTTTTGCACTAGGGAAAATTAATTTTTTTTCTATTTGTATTTACCTTTACAGTTGTCTCAGGTAAAAAGCAAACAGAACAACATAAAAAATGTTAAGTGTGAAAAAGGAGAATGCTTATCTTTTATAATTTAAGTATTAAATCTGAAAGCAATCCTAAAAATATTCCAAAGACTCTTGTATTATTTATTTATTTAAAGTTATTTATTTTGAGAGAGAGAGTGAGAGTGTGCTCATGTGTATGTGCACATAAGTAATGGAGAGGTAGAGAAAGAGAGAGAAAGAGAGATGGAGAGAGAGAGAATCCCAAGCAGGCTCAGTGCTGTCAGCACAGGGCCCAATGCAGGGCTCTAACTGTGAGCCGTGACATCTTGACCTGAGCCGAAACCAAGAGTCAGACGCTTAACCTGCTGAGCCATCCAGATGCCCCCAAAGAGTCTTTTTAAAAGCAGTGTTCCCATTATGGGGCTCCCAAAGAATACTTTGGGATGTGTTTCCTGACATGATTGTTTAAAAACACATTTTTTTAAATTCACCTCCCTTATGGATAGATATGCCTAAATTCTTTGATAAAACTATAATAGGACATCTTGTTTATTTATTGTACAACCTTACTGTAGAAGTATATGGTGCTGATTCACTCTATCTGTATTTCCATAACACTTGGTACATATTTCCACTGTATCCTTCATTATACTGTAGTTATTAAAATAAATCTTTAAGAATAGGAGCCATTTAATTTTTCTGAAATTGATTATGCAATAGCTAGTAAGTTGATGTTAACACACACATCAAAGTGACCTATGTTGCTTAGTTAATTTACTTAATTTTATTCTAACTTTCTAGTCACAAATTATAAAGTTATAAATCCATAAAACAATTTTTGATAAACATTTTCTTATCCCATTCTAGATGAATCAGATTGTCATTTGACTCAAATCAGGTAGAATATTGCCTTCTGAAATGACAATTACATGTTTATCAGTAGGGAAATTGGGAGTAGAAAAAAGTAAAATTTCCTGCCTTAAATTTTTTTTCATTTCCTGCATAGGCCATATTGCTAAGAAGCCATTTTATAAAGAATAAATTTTATTGAGGTATAAGTTTATTACAATAAAATACATCTGTTTTAGGGAAGCCCCCCTCCTTTTTTTAAAGTTTTAAAAAATTTATTTATTTTGAGAGAGAGAGAGAGAGAGTGTGTGTGTGTGTGTGTGTGTGTGTGTGTGTGTGTGTATGTGAGTGGGGGAGGGGCAGAGACAGAGGGAGAGAGAATCCCAAGCAGGCCCAGTGCTGTCAGTGCAGAGCCGGACACAGGGCTCGATCCCATGAACCGTGATGACCTGAGCCAAAATCAAGAGTTCGATGCTTAACCGACTGAGCCACCCAGGTGCCTTGAGGGAAACCCTTTTTTAAACCACTGAAAAAAAGTCTGTCAATCTGTGTCAAATAGTCTTTGGTTAAAATAATCCAGTTGGTTGCTAGGGCTTTGAACATAGTTAATGTAAAATAGTGCATTGGTTCTCATAGTGTGGTGCACAGACTAGTAATGTTAGCGTTACTTGGGCTCATGTTAGACATGAAACTCTTCACCCTACTCCAAACATATTTAATCAGAAACTCTGGGGAGGGGCCTACCAATCTGTTTTAATAAGTCTGCCAGGTATTTCTGATCTGAAATGTGAGAAGCATTAAATTAATAAAATGTTTCAGTGGCTTATATAAAAATTTCAGGACACCTCAAGGTGACCTTTAGCCCAATTCCTGTTTTAGAGATGTGTACTAGTAATGAGTAACTTAATCTACTTAATTATTTACTAAGATTTTGGGGGCATCTCAGTTTTCTTTTGCTGAAGGAAACATTTTGAAAGACTGAATTACTTGGCTCAATTTTTAGTATTTTAGTTAAATTAGAAATTTAATATGATGAAATATAAATATTTTGAGATTCATAACCTTAACAGCTTTTTCCTAAAATTGCTAATCACTTCATATAGTTTTAAAATTTATCAGGTAAACCAAATATCATAGCAGATCTTTATGTCTTGAATTATTGATAATTTAGCAATACTGTTTACATCAGCCAAAGAGCCAAATCTAAATTATGATATTAACTTACTGGTAAATAGCAGCATTTACCAGAACACTCTTGATTTTGCTGGATTTTAGCGCTGAGGCAGTGGGGATCAACTTTGAAACTAACTTAAAATGTATATAATTTTTGTAGTAGCCCTTGTCCCCTCCCTCACCCTTTTCCAACGTCTAATTAATCACCAATTTTCCATCGGTAGTACCTCCTAAATATCTCTGAATCTAACCACTTCTTTCTCTTACTACTGTCATTTCTTGGTCTGAGCCACCATCAGTTTTCCCCTGGACTTCCAACTCATTTATCTGAATCCATATTCACAGTGTGAAAAAAGTAGTCTTTAATAATGTACATCTGATCATGCCCCTTCTACTTAAAACTCATCAGTGGCTTCTCGTAAAGTCCACAGTCTACTGTTGTCTGTGAACCTTATATGATATAGCTTTTCCAGCTTCTCTAGCTCAGACATCTTTATATAGTTACTGAAATGTGCTGTGTTTCTTTCTGCACGGGGTCTTTACACATGCTGTTTCCTTATGGTCCACCTGACCATTTATTGATTTTTAGATCTCAGTTTAAAGACTACTTTTTTCTGGAGAACTTTCCTGATATACTCTCTCCCTGCCCAATTCCCCCATATCTGTGTACTCCTTGTTATATTCTCTCATAGCTTTCTCTACACTTTGATCATTATACTTCCTTTTGTAATTCTTTCATTGTATACCTTCCCTTATAGACTGTGTTCCATGTGGGCAAGGTACATTTTTGGTAATCCTGGTTTCCAACAAAATAGCTGGTGTATGATGCCCAAAGTATCTGAATGAGTGAGTGAATAAACGAACAAACAATTGAACAAAGAGTGATGACTTTTCATGTGTTAAAGTAATATAAGGTTATAAAGTTGCCAGATTTTTGTGAATAAGCTGTTCCTTATCCTTGTGTATCTAGATTATGCTTGTGCTCTTCAGAGGGACATTTTGCTTCAGGGACGTCTCTATCTTTCAGAAAACTGGCTGTGTTTCTATAGCAACATCTTCAGATGGGAAACTACAGTAAGATGTATTTTGATTTGACTTGTTGATACAAATAATTGCATAGATAGAAATATATATATAGTCCTCCTAAAAACAATGTACTTTAGATTCCGAAGTAAATTTATATATATTTGTATATCTGTACTTTTATATGCGCGTGATATATTTATATATCGTAGAAGTGTGTAATCTATTTTCTTAATACATCAAGCTCCATTTGTACATATTTAATACAGTTGGAGAAAGAGATTTCAGGTTGAAAAAAGCTTGAACATACATCCATTTGACTGCCAAAATCATGTCTGATGTGACAGACTGTCTGAATTTTGTTTGTGTGTGTATGTGTTAATGTGGAACACGAACACCCACATGTCTTTTCACACTCTGTCCTAAAGTTAGAGATAAGAGCTGAGGAGGAAATTACTGCTGGGGGAGAACGTCTGACTGCTTACCCTATTTTTCTCAGAGAATGCAAGCATGTGGTTATTAACGCCTTCAGGTTTTTCAACGGAATATTCTGGATTAGATTGATTCCATACTTCGTATTTTGTGCTGCATATGTTTCAGAAAAATTCATTTAATAATTTTTCATTCTTTCACGTGTTTAGATTTGTATTGCATTAAAGAACATAACCTTCATAACCAAGGAGAAAACTGCTCGACTCATCCCAAATGCTATCCAGATTGTTACAGAAAGTGAAAAGGTGAAAAACTTTTCTACCTTTGCCTTATTACATAACATGGAGAAAATCTGCATCATACTGATTCATCAGTGTTGGTGATGTAGGCAATTCTTCTTGGAGTTAGGAATTTGTAATAGAGATATATTGTATTTAATACTAAATTTCTGTGTAGTTAAGTACTCACTGATAATTAAATGACTGCTAACAATTTTTGTGCTTTATAGTTCACAGAGAACTTTCTCCCATATTTTTCATTTCTTCTTTATAAGAGGTAGTTAGGGTAAACATTACCAAAACATCATTATTTCTAAATGCCCTAATAATTCCATGATATTGTGTAGTCAATAATACCTGCATAGTAGCAACTAATAAAAACAAATGGTTCTGGTGAACAGAGAGATTTGGGTAGCATACAAGTAAACATGTAATCATTATACTATTTTTTTTAGGATGGCAGTTAGGGTAGCAGTTATCTTTAACTGCCATTGTTTTTATGATCCTGCCTACAATATCTGCCATTTTGTAGTGGGGATATATGAAGAATCTTTCTGTACCCACCTGGAAAATTGATTAGGGCTCTGTGTGTGACATTAGAAGCATAATGCTACTCTCAACAATAGCCAAATTATGGAAAGAGCCTAAATGTCCATCAACTGATAAATGGATAAAGAAATTGTGGTTTGTATACACAATGGAGTACTACGTGGCAATGAGAAAGAATGAAATATGGCCCTTTGTAGCAATGTGGATGGAACTGGAGAGTGTTATGCTAAGTGAAATAAGCCATACAGAGAAAGACAGATAACATATGTGTTCACTCTTATGTGGATCCTGAGAAACTTAACAGGAACCCATGGGGGAGAGGAAGAAAAAAAAAAGAGGTTAGAGTGGGAGAGAGCCAAAGCATAAGAGACTGTTGAGAACTGAGAGCAAACTGAGGGTTGATGGGGGGTGGGAGGGAGGAGAGGGTGGGTGATGGGTATTGAGGAGGGCACCTTTTGGGATGAGCACTGGGTGTTGTATGGAAACCAATTTGACAATAAATTTCATATATTTTTTTAAAAAAGCATAATGCTGAGAAAGCAAAAGAGATAAGGAAGGAAAAGAAGGAAAGTAGGGAAAAGGGAAAAGAAGGGAATGAAAGGGAAGGAAAAGGAAGGAACCACAGAAGGAACGAAGGGAGGCAATGAAAGGAAAAAGAGAGAGGAAAGAGAAGCAGGGGAGAGAAACACTATCATGACACTGAATCATTGTAATGATACTTTTAAATCTTACAGTTTCTTTCCAATGCACTTTAAATTTTATTTTTATTTACTTATTATTTTTTATTTTTTAAAGTTTATTTATTTATTTTGAAAGAGAGAGAGTGTGAGCAAGGGAGGGGCGGAGAGAGTTGGAGAGAGTGAGAATACCAAGTAGGCTCTTTGGCATCAGTGCAGAGCCCAAATTGAGTCTTGAACTCATGAATGAGATCATGGACCTGAGCCAAAATCAAGAGCCAGATGCTTAACTGACTGAGCCACCCAGGTGCCCCTATTTTTAAATAATCTTATCTTTCTAGAATACTCCCCAGTACAGTACAAAGAACTTATCCCCTTGGAACTATTTGAGAGTAAGTTGTTACTCTGAAACCTCATTACTCCAGATAGCAAACCAAATATCCTAGCATGTATTTCCAACAAAGAGATTCTCCTGCATAAGCGCAAGCTGACCATCAAAATCAAGAAATTACCATTGACCATTACCATTGTTCAATCCTCAGACCTTCTTCAGTTCCCCCAGATATTCTAATAACATCCTTTATAGCAATTAGATGCAGTTTAGAAATACATAATTACTTTTAGTTGTCATGCTCTTTAATTTCCTTATTCTGAAATAGTCTCTTAGTCTTTTTTGACTTTTGTGCCCTTGATACTTTTAAAGATTACAGGTGTTATTTTTTAAGTTATCCCTCAATTGTGTTTGTTTAATATTTCCTTGTAACTAAACGTAGGTTATGCAATGTTGACAGAAATGACATGAAAGTGATACTCTGTTCTTTACACTGCATCCTATCAGATGGCCCATGACTTCAGCTTCTACCATTATTGGCGATATTCACTTGGATCACTTGATTAAGATGGTTAATCTGCCAGACTTTACTGTAGTCTGTTTTCCTTTGTAATAATATTTGGTGGCAAGCTACTCTGAAACTATATAAATACACAATTCTTCATCAAACTTTAAATTTATTCATTCATTTACTTATATCAGCATGTCCTCATAGTTTCTTGTTTTATTCAGTGAGTTCTAATCCATTACTAGCATTATTTATTTTGATGCTCAAATTGTCCCAGATTTGGACAGTTGCAGGCCCTTAAGGTGGCTCTGGTGACCTTCTGACTATTCTTAGTATTGTTTGAGCATTTCCTTGCTTTTTGACATAAGGTGTTCCAGGCTTTCTCTGCCTCAGCCCTGGAATCAGTCACTTCTCCAAAAAGTTCTCATTCTTATATTTTTTTAATGTTTATTTATTTTTGGGAGAGAGAGAGTGAGAGTGTGCACATGCACATGAGTGGGGGAGGGGCAGAGAGAAAGAGAGAGAGAGAGAGAGAGAGAGAGAGAGAGAGAGAGAGAGAATCCCAAGCAGGCTCCATGCTGTCAGTTCAGAGCCCAGTGTGGGGCCCAAACCACGAGATCATGACTCAAGCTGAAATCAAGAGTAGGACACTTAACTGACTGAGCCCCCCCAGGCCCCAGTTGTGATTTCTTCTAAGGGAAGACTGATATTTAGAAGCCAGTGTATTCATTGCTATTGGGGTGTCATATTCCTGAGCCCTTTAAATAGTAAGAATAAGGGTATATGTAATGTATATATAATTACACACCCATACACATAATATACACACATATATAGCCATTTGTACGTCAGTGTCTTTCTACTTATCTGTCATAAACCAAGAATTCACTCTGAAATCTCTAATTCCTGTCCAACACTACAAAGTTCAGTTTTGTTTCCTCCCTTTGATATTTGTAACTCTCTTCGCTGACTGAGAAGCCAGGCTCCCATTATCCTCAATATATTTACTTACTTTATCAGTTGACCTCTATGTAATCAAACTTCATTTCTTTGCCACTCCTTCCCCACATGGATGCCCTTTTACCTGACTTGGTTTCTGACACTTTCCAGTCCAGTTGCTGCCCATCCCATCACGACACAGGTGCTCTCACCATGTGAAAGCACTCCTCACTCTGCTTGGTCTGACATCCTATGCCAAGCACCTTCCCTGGACTCACTTTACCCTATGCCAGGTCAACCCTCTAAAGGGATGCCCTCCATTCCCTGCTTGTGCTCTGATATCCTGTGCCAGTCTGTCACTGTGTGTGGTTGCCACCCTCACCTCTTCAGGCTCTGACTCCCCAGCACAAAACCACCCTCATGGACTCTATCACGCTGTGTCACCCTCACCTGCTCCAGCTCTGACATGCTTTTGTAGGCTGCTCCTGTTCATGGTCACACTCTGCCATGCTTGGGCTCTGCCACCCACACCAGTCTACCTCTTTTCATGGTCACGCTTGATGGGCTCTGACTTGGGCCCCTCACCGTGTTCTTGTTCTGAAACCATGCTCCAGATCACCCTCATATATGGAGGCCCTTCTTACCTGCTTGGTCTCTGATACTCCATGTAAGGCAACCCTTCTATGTGGACAACTTCCTCATTCTTTTCGGGTTTTGACATTGTTTTGGGCTACTGCAGCTCTTTTCTCCCTCCGCTCCCCTCCAGTGTGGATGCCTCCTTTTCTCTGTTCTACCAATAGCTTTAGGACTGAGCTGTTGAGGAAGAGAAGAAGAGCTAAAATAAGCATAGTCTTAATTTTATAATTAATACATGAATACATTGCATTCCCTAACAAAATCATCGTTAAACAGTTTTTAAACTAGCATCTTGGTCCATGCCATAACCCCCAATTCCATTTATTTATGTTTTTCTAGAGGCAGACACTGTTACCAGTTTGGTATGTATCTTTTTAGACTTTCTTCCTTTGTGTATGTATATATAAACATATAGTTGTATGTATGTATATACATACACACATATAGTTTTGCTTTTTTTAAAATTTTTTAAATTTATTTTTTAAATTTACATCCAAGTTAGTTAGTATGTGGTGCAGCGATTTCCCACAACCCCTCCAGTAACCCTCTGTTTGTTCTCCATATTTAAGAGTCTCTTATGTTGTTGTCCCCTTCCCTGTCTTCATATTTTTTTTGCTTCCCTTCCCTTATGTTCATCTGTTTTGGTTCTTAAAGTCCTCATATGAGTGAAGTCATATAATATTTGTCCTTCTCTGACTGATTAATTTCACATAGCATAATACCCTATATATTTATTCACTTAGCATAATACCCATAATAGTTCCATCCATGTAGTTGTGAATGGCAAGATTTCATTATTTTTGATTGCCGAATAATACTCCATTGTGTATATATATGTGTGTGTGTGTGTGTGTGTGTGTGTGTATATATATATATATCACATCTTCTTTATCCATTCATCCATAAATGGATATTTGGGCTCTTTCCATACTTTGGCTATTGTCGATAGCGCTGCTATAAACATTGGGGTGCATGTGCCCCTTCTAAACAGCATACCTGTATCCCTTGGATAAATACCTAGTAGTGCAATTGCTGGGTCATAGGGTAGTTCTACTTTTAATTTTTTGAGGAACCACCATGCTGTTTTCCAGAGTGACTGCACCAGTTTGCATTCCCACCAGCAGTGCAAAAGAGATCCTCTTTCTCCGCATCCTTGCCAACATCTGTTGTTGCCTGAGTTGTTAATGTTAGCCATTCTGACAGGTGTCAGGTGGTATCTCATTGTGGTTTTGATTTGTATTTCCCTGATGATGAGTGATGTTAAGCATTTTTTCATGTGTCAGTTGGCCATCTGGTTGTCTTCTTTGGAGAAGTGTGTATTCATGTCTTTTGCCCATTTCTTCACTGGATTATTTGTTTTTTGGGTGTTGAGTTTGATAAGTTCTTT